CCTGTCTGGTATACTTTCTGTACTTTCCCATCCATAGCTCCCAAAGACACCTGGAACTTTAGATTACCTCCTTAGTGTCCCCGGCATTCCTTTCCCATGCCCTTTTCCATATAAACCCTAACTCCATCCTCAGTCTCTTGCAGGTTCCTTAAGAATCCTTGCCTGCTGAAAAACATGATGATAAATCTTTGCCACCTTGACTTAAAGAATGCTTGAGTCTGTGAATTCATTCCAGATGACCCGTCCTGTACTCTGGTCTTTGAGGGGTCTCAACCTCTCAGACCGCAACATCATGATGTAAAGTGCTATCCACATCTAGAGAAAGAACTATGGAGTCTGAATGCAGATCGAAGCATACTATTTGCTTTTTTTCCCTTCTGTTTAGTTTTGTTTCTTCTTTCTTGTGGTTCCTCCCGTTGGTTCTAATTATTCTTTACAACATGACTAATGTGAAAATAAATAAACAAATACCTGTTCAAGGACTGATGGTCTTCATAATATCCCTGTAAGGCAGGCCCTTTATCATCCCCAGTTTTACAGATGAGGAAACTGAGGCTCTATATAGGAATAATAACAGTAACTCCTCTACTAGGTAGTCATTGAGTGGTCTGTTGGGGGGGATCAAAAAGATAATGGACAGAAAGCATTTTGTACAGGGTCCTACGGTTAGTAATCCATCAATCAACATTTATTAAGCACCTACTATGTACCAGGGCAGCTAGGTGGCACAGTGGGTACAGCTCCAGGTGTGAAGTCAGGAAGACTCATCTTCCTGAGTTCAAATCTGGCCTCAGAAACTTACTAACTGTGTGACCCTGGGTAAGTCACTTAAACCCTGTTTGCCTCCATTTCCTCATCTGTAAGATGAGCTGGAGAAGGAAATGGTAAACCTTCTCCGGTATCTTTGCTAAGAAAATCCCAACTGGGGTCATGGAAGGTCGGTTGTGACTGAACAAGATTTCACATAATTCATATTGCCTCTATCCATTGTACCACCCAGATGCCTCTGCTATGCAAACATTTAAACACTATATGAATGTTATTATTATAATATAATATTATGTACATAATTATTATATATGTATATAATGATGTATATAATAAAAATATATTATATATGTATATAATTATTATATATTGTATATAATGTATGTAATTATATAATTATAACATTATAACATAATTATATGTTATAAACTATTATTATAGCAGTAGCAGAATTTCAGAACAACAAAAAGGCTAAAACAATTCATTTGAAATGTTCTGTAAACATTTAAGCACTACAAATTATTATTATTATTATTGTAGGAGTAGTAGAGAAAATTTTAGAGCTAGAAGCAGCAGCAGACTTGGATGAAAAGCAGTCTCTGTTGCCAGCTACTGGACATGTTTTCCCATCAACCCAAGGTCCTTTCAGACACCCCAAACCTGAGGGGTCTCCGAGGAAGCCCAGGGTGGCCATGTGGCTCCAGAACATAAACACCTGTTGCTAAAACCCAGCACCAACCACATCTGCCTGGCCGGTGCTGGCACAGCCTCTGGGACCCTGCAATGCCCTTCCTGAAGCAGCAGAGGGCACGCGCAGCCTCCTCTCAGCAGGTTTGGGCACAGGCGGGACCGGGAACGATGGGCAGAATCCAATGGGAGAGAACATTCTTCCCCGTCTGATATCGGAAAATGAGATCTCTAACTTTCTATGCACGGAGAGGAAAAGGCCCGGAGGGGAAGTGGTGGAAAGAGCGCTGGCCTCTTGGGTCAGCTGACCTCCACCAGATGCAAGAGATCGGTGTAATTAATGGAAAGGATGCTGGATTTGGCAGATGGAGAATCCGGGATCAACCCCAATTCTTGGTCCTTGCTACTGGTGACTTCTGACAAGTCATTTCCCCTCTTGGACCTCAGTTTCCCCAACTGTAAGATGAGGGGTGACCTCTGAAGTCCCTTCCAGCTCTGAATCTATGATCCTATGACCGCTCTGTGCCTCAGTTTCCCCATCTGTAAAATGAGGGGGGCTTCTGAGGTCCCTTCCAGCTCTGGGTCTAGGCTCTAATGGTACAGCAGGGACTCAGAGCCGTAAGGGAGCTGGGGGACTCCAGGGAAGGAGGCCCAGGTTGAGGGTCAGAGGGGACCTCAGACATCATGGCCCTGAAAGGGATTCCTACTGTCACATACCCAACGCTCGGGCGTCCAAGGTGGCTACTTGGAGACCCCCCCAGGGAAGGCAAGACCGCCATCTCTCTTGTGTGCCCCGTTCACTTTTGGACAATTTTGGAAGTCTCTTTTTTTCCTCTGGCATCAAGCCTACATTTATTTCTTTGTGACTTCCCCCTCTGCTCTGGGCTCTGCTCTCTGGGGCCTTCTCCAGGCCAGCCCTTCAGATGGTTGCAGCTGGCCAGCTATATTGTCCCGCTGGAGGCTCATCTTCTCCAGGTTAAACACTTCGGATTCCTTCCATAGATCCTCCTGGGGCTTGGACTTGAGGGAGGCCCTTCACAACCCCTCTGGACGCTGCCTGGCTTCTCAGTGGCAAGCACCAGCTGAGGCCAACAAAGAAAAAAGGGGGGGGCGTAACTAAAAGGTTAGTTGATCAGCGAGAAAACAACCAGCTAGCTGCACCAGAGCCCTGATTTGGGTGCTGTGGAAGGCTGCAAACTAATGGGAATCAGAGGACGAACTCTGCCCTTTCCTTCTCTTCTCTAGGCCTCTCTTTCATCATCTGGAGGATTAGATTGTAAGCTCCTAGAGGGCAGGGACTGTCTTGTGCCTCTTTTTGAATCCTTACCACTCAGTGCTTGGCACATAGTAGGTGCTTAATGTTTATTGATGCCCAGCACTTAGCACACCCTGCACATAGTAGGTGCTTAATAAATGCTTATTTATTGATAGACTGAAAGAATTGGACTTTGCAGCTATAAATCTAGGATCCCAAATATGAAGCCCTCTCCCCAAACCTAACACAGTCACTGGCACCATGAATTGAAGAATGACATTCATAGTGCAGAGGACCTGGCCAGAAGAATCAGAATCCAGACAGCCCGGGGTTCAAGCCCCACCTGTGAGGCAGACTAGCTTCCTGACCTTGGTTAATCCCTTCCCCATCCCTCAGTGCCCAGCCCCCACTCCCCACTCCCAAGGCAGCTCTCTAGGAATGCCTAATTTGCTTTGGAAAATTGAGTTCCTTCACCCATCGAACTCCTCCCACTAAGGAAATCCCAAGTCCCAATAAAAGAAACCAATCGGGTGTTTTCTGCCCCAGCATCTAGAATGGGGTCCCCAGTTCTTGGCATCATATTTCATGAAGAGGCATGGACAACTGAACTTGTTAAAAGAACAGACACTGCTAATTTTATAGCCTAGGGAAGGTTTAAGGGGAGAGAAAAAGAATAAACCTCCATCACATGGAAAAGGTAACCGGAAGGACTCTGCTGACCCACAGCATGGAGAGATGAGGTAGAGAAAGCTTTGGGTATAGAGAGGAGGTAGTTGTTTCCCTGGGGCCCAGAGAAGTGCACAGCTACCAGAGCTGTTCAGAGAAGGTCAGGAGGCTTGGGGAAGGGTAGATAAGAACTGGGGGGGGGGGGGGGAAGCAGAGGGGAGGACAACATGAGATCACAGATTTGCACAGAAAGACAAATCAATCATAGACATTTATTGAAGACCTACAGCATTAGTGGTTCTTACATAACCTGAGTCTGAAAACTTGTTTTTTTTAAAAAATATATTAACTATTTAAATTCAATTGGTTTTCCTTGTAATCTTACATATTTTTGTTACATGCATTTAAAAACGCGATTCTGGGAAGGGGTCCATAGCTTTTTCCAGACTGCCAAAGGAGTCCAAGACATAGAAAAGGTTCAGAATCCCTGGCCTAGGTTCCCTACACTGAGTTAGTTGCTGTTGCATCTAGAGAGAAAAAGGTCCAGTCCAGAACTGCCCACATGTAAGCTTACCCAAATATATGCACGGGTATAGAAAGAGATAAATTGGAAGACACACATATGTAGGCATGCATACATATGCACACACAATAAAACATGCAGGCATACATACACATAAACACACACACAAAACTTGCAAACATATGTGTGCAAGGATAAACAGATGCATAAGCCGTATTTGTAGACACAGGCATGCATGTGAATTCCCATGCACAGACGAGCATAAATCTGCATATGCATTCAGATCTCCATGCATTGCCCCTGGCGTGCAAACACTCAAATCAACAAGGCACACTTATGGATTCTTGCAGACATAGACGTGCACACGTACCCACACATTCTTAAAGCGTACTCAGAAGTTGGAGAAGACGGAGAGGGGGCACCTAAGCCGAGTTGGAGAGGTGAGGGGGCCCAGTGCGGGGTCATGAAGCACAGCAATCAGGGCGCCTCCTAATTCCGGGGGAGGGGGAGGGGGCTCGCTGCGCGGAGAACGCCACGAGAGCCGGGCCCAAGCTAGCGCGTGCTGCGCGTGAGTCCCCGAGCTCGGGCAGCGGATTTTGCCCCAGAAGGTGGCCCTGCGGCTCCGCCGTCACGTGGACTCGTCGCTACCTGGCGCAGCAGGTAAGACGGAGGGCGGGTCGGTGACGCAGGGCCCCGGGCCTTCGGACCTCGGCCAGCCCTTTCGCTGCCTCCCCCAGCTGTCCGGGCTGACAGCGACCCCTCCCAGCGCCGAGCCAGGTGAGCCCCGCCCCGCCCCGGCCGCCAGGTAGGCAGGTGCGGCCGCGCCGGCCCCGCCCCCTTCTCCCTACCCCCGGGCCCGCCTGGCCCAGGCTCGGCGGACCCCAGGCAGCCGGGCCAGCCCCGTCCCGCCGGCCACGAGCGCGCCCCTGGCCCGGCAGCCGGCCGCTCCTGCAGCCCGCGGACAGCCCCAGCCCCATCCCCAGCCCCGCGATCCCGGGCGGGCGGACAGGAAGTGGGAGGGGAGAGCAGCGCGGGGGAGGGGAGGGGACGGCCGGGCGGCACTGCCCTGGACTGGACCGGACGGGACGCCACCGGAGCCGCTCGGCGCTGGACGCTCCGCTTCCCCGGGGGCTGCGCCGGGGCGCAGGTGAGACAGCGGCCGCGGGGCAGGGCACCGGCCGGCCCCGAGACTCCTTTTCTTTCCTTAACTTTTTCGGGACTTTTTTTTTCCCTGCACGTTTTAGGAAGGGGGCACTGTGGCTGCTGGGCGCGCCTTGGAGGGGGCTTGCGGAGGGAGGTCGGGGATGGGGACCCCACAGCTGACGCGTGCGGGGTCTGGGTAGGAGGGTGGGGAACCCGTGGGAAGGGAAGGTGCACTGCCCCGGGACAGCAGCAGGACCGGGGATCCTGGCAGCCAGTTGGGCGGCCTCCCCCCGTCCTTCCCAGGAATTTGGCTTGGTCCGGGCCAGTCCATAGGTGCCTCCTGACCCCTGCTATGCGGCTTTGGATTCGGGGGCCGGGATGTCCCTCCGCGTCTCCTGCGCCCCTTCCCTTCGCCCATTTTGTTCATTTTCTGGGAGATGGAGGGGGGTGGGTGGAGATGAGACTTCTGGAAGGACTTCCTACTCGGCTGGGCTGAGTCCCTGGGGAGGGGCTGTTGAGAGTTAATCTGTTACCTAACTGAGCTGAAAGGTTCGGAGAGACCTCCTCTCCAATGGGAACGGGCGGAGACGGGGAGCTCGGCTTGCTGACCTCCAGCTGGGCTTCTCCGAGGCTTGGGAAGGGAGAGCCTTGCAGCCAGATCCCTCCAATAGCCCCCCCCCCCCCCCCCCCCCCCCGGTATTGGCAAAGTACTCAATACTTTCCCATGCAAATAGCGACCATTTCCATAGTGCTTTCCAATTTGCAAAACACCTTACATTCATTATCTAGTGAAGGGGGATGCTATTATTGTTATTATTATTATTATCCCCCTTTCTTATAGTTTAGGAAAATGAGGCCCGGAGCCAGAGTCTTTTTCTAATCTAAATCACAGTATTTTGGGTGAGCTCCAGAATCAAATGCCTAGGTTTGGCATTCAGAGCCCTTCCTAACCCGGCCTCTTCTTGATTTCCCAGTCATCTTTATTTCCCCTTGGGATCCAGCTGCAATAGCCGGGTCCTTCTCTCCAGCCTGGAATGGTTCACCCTACTCACCTTTGCTTCTTAGCTCCCCTGGCTTGCTTCTTGATAGATCTCAAATCCCACCTTCTATCTGAAGGCCTTTCACTATCCCTGCAGCTGCTAAGAACTCCCTCTGCGTAGATCTCATGTGTGCCTAGTTATTTATCTGCTCTTCCTGCAACCTCCCCATCACTTCCTTGAGGGAAGAGATTATTTTATTTTTGCCTTTCTTTGTAATCCCACGGATTAGGGAAATTCCTGAAATACTTTTTGTTATTCAGTCCCGTATGACTCTTTTTGCCCAGGATCACACAGCTAGTAAGTGTCTGAGGCTGAGTTTGAACTCAGGTCAAGCCTGACTCCAGGCCCACTGTTATCACCTAGCCTACCTCATTGATTTCTTTGGTATGAGGAACTCCCACTACCAGTTCGAGTCTTAAGAGATTGCCGGGAGCATGGAGAGATCTGGGGACTTGTCTAATAAACATTTACAAACCTTATCTAATTTGATTTTCACACTGGCCCTTTGAAGTGGGTGGTGTTCTCCCTCTTCTTTTGTAGAAAATGAAACTCTGAGGGATTATGACAAGCCAATAGTCCCCACCTGTTTACTCTTTACATATGGAGTTCAAACTCAGATCTTTCTGAAGAAGTCTAGCATTCTCTCCAGTGGGTCACCCAGCCTCTCTCAGACTCTTTTCAAGTCCTTTATAGCTCATGAGGGTCCCAGGACTTGAAAATCCAAGATTATGGATGGAGAGCCAGTCCTCACTGCAACCTCCAGTGTGGGCCTGGCCACTGGGGAGGGCGAGCGTCTTCATCTGAACTCTGGCCGATTCTATTTCTAGCTGGCTGTTAGAGACTAGCCTTATAGCTTACATCTTTATCTCCTTCCTATAAGAAATGCTTTGTGTGCTGGTGATAATGCACTGCCTTGTGACTGCAGCGCCTGCTGCAGGGGGATCTCTGGGGGTTGGGTGCCTTTATGTTCACAAGTAGAGAGGGACTCAGGGAATCGTATCATTTTCCCCACCCGTTCTTGGGAGATGGGAAGGGGGAGTCGTGGTCTAGACCAGCACTTCTTAAACTGCGGGTCGAGACCCCACATGGGGTTCCCATTTGGCAATAGTTAAAGGTTTCTGAACGTGCAACCACCAAAAATTAATTAAAAATCAAACGCGTAATGAATCCAAGGTGTTTCTGGCAGTGTTTGCCCATGTTGCAGCTTGCAACTTCCTGCAGCCTTGTTTCTGAACACAAAGCATGCACACTTTGCACTACGTGTGCCCTCAGGCCATGCACTGCCCTAAATGAAAAAGGGTGGTGAGTGGAAAAAGTTTTAGAAGCCCCGGTCTAATGGAAAGAACACACACAGGGCTTCCTACCAGATTCTAGACCCGGCTCTTTCACCGACCATCAGAGTGACCTGCAGAAAGTCACTTAGGTGCCCAAACTAGGCCTCAGTTTCCTTATCTGCCAAATGGGGATAACAGCTATTTCATGGAGCACAGGGAAAATCAAATGAGATAATCCATGTGAAAATATTTTTAAAAGTCAGACGCACTTAAGCCCACGCAAGATGGTGGTTATCAGTAATTATCTCCATTCAACTCTTGGGGAAATGTGGGGATCAGGTCCAGGGGGTCAGGGGAAAAATCTGTGCAGGGTCACTGACCAAGTAGAGCTGATGGTTGCAGATTCCCAGGCCTGGTCTTCCTTATATTGCTGTGGCTTCTTTTGGGTGTCGGGGTCCTCAAGGTGCTGACTGCCCAGGTCCCCAATCACTGGTCCTGGCGCCCCCGGGCCAGCAGAGAGAGGTTCAGAAAGTGTTGCCGAGAATGTGGATGTTCGGCATGGTGACAGACTTTGTGTCTATGCCATACAGCAGGTGATTGATGGACCTGGGTGTGTTTGGTGTAGACAAGACTATCGAGGGGGGAACAGGATAGCTTTCTTTAAGCATTTAAAGAGCCATGAGATTGAAGAGCTACTAGGGCAGGCCAAAGAACAATTGGGTGGAAGTTAAATTGAGGCAGCTTTAGCCCCCATACAAGGAAAATCTTCTTTCTAATGAGAGCTGTCTATAAATTGAATAGACCACGTCGGGACAGAGTGAGCTTCCCATCACTGGATGACTCCTCGTCAGGGGTCAGTGCGACAAGCATTTATTTGGCACCTGCTGTATGCTAGGCCCTGTGCTAGGCGCTGGGGCTAAAAATACAAAGAATGAAACAATCACACTCTTAAGGACCTTACATTCTAATGGGGAGACAAGTTCAGGCATGTTTTTCAGGGTGTTCTTGTCCCAGTATGGATTGAACCCAATGGCCTTGAAGGTCCCTTCTAACTCTGACCTTGTAACTTAGAATCATCACTGTACGGGTAGGTGATGCAGTGGATAGAGTGTTGGGTCTGGAGTCAGGAAGACCTGAGTTCAGATCTAGCCTCAGACACTTACTAGCTGTGTGACCCTGGGCGAGTCACTTAACATCTTTGCCTCAGTTTCCTCATCTGTAAAATGGGGATTGTAATAGCACCTACATTTCAGGGTTGTTGAGAGGATCAAATGAGATAATATTTGCAAAGTACAGTGCCTGGCAAGTAGAAGGTGCTTAATAAATGCTTATTCCCTTCCTTTTTATACAGTCATTTGGTGTATTCTGTGCCCTAGGCCTCAGGCCGCTCAAACACACACACACACACAGTCCAACACAGGCCCTTCCCAGGGAGTTCCACCGTCCCAATAACTCACATTTGGCTGTCGATATAATGTCTGCAGAACGTTTTTCTTACAGCAACCCCGAGGTAGCAGACCTATATAATGATACCCATTTTGCAGATGCGATAATGGGAGTCGGTGATTTGCCCAGGGTCACCAGACTTGAAGTCCATTCTTTCTGGGTCTCTATATGCAGCATTGTTTGCACTAATGCAGGAAGAGCCTCCCAGAAACACAGGCCCTCTATCACCCAGAGATCTTGGTTGGCGATCACAAGCTCTTTCTCCTTCCCAAACAAACAGCCTTTGCAGGGGCAGCGTGACAGGGCCGTCTCTAATAACCACCAGCTCTCCTGGCCCATCCTGGCTCTCCCTGCCTTTATCAGCTGTTCATGTTGGGCCTCAGAGGGGGAGAGCCTGGTGCCCTCCTGCCCATCCCTGGCAGCAGCTGCTGCCTCCATCCCCTCGCAGGGCACTGGCCTTGGCACCCTGACTGTGAATTACTGAGGAAGGGGGCTTTGTGGTCGCCCAGACTTCCCCCGCCCTCCTTTTACAGTTGAGGGTATGGACGTTCTCGGGAGGTTACTGCACTTAGAGAGCTGAAATTTGAACCTCTAACTGAAAATCCCAGCACTCTGCTCACTATACCACACTGGCAAGGGGAGAAACAAGCATTTATTGAGCACCTACTATGTGCCAGGCACTGTGCTAAGCACTTTACAGATATTATCTCATTTGAACCTCCTAACAGCCTTGAGAGATGAGCTCTATTATTACCCCCCATTTTTCATTTAAGGAAACTGAGGCAGACAAGAGGTTAAGTAGCTTGCCTGGGGTTATGGTGTCTGAGGCCAAATTGGAACTCAGGTCTTCCTCACTCTAGGCCCAGTGCTCTATCTAATAGACCCACACCACCTCTATAATGAAATATAAAGGGTCTGCCTAGAACAACCCTGTTTTGCTGAACCAGGAGAATTGCTTTGTCCAGTGATTGCCCTGGAGGTCGCATCTCCAGCTCATTCTTGTTCAGGAACACTGTTGAGCCTAGAAGCACTAATCTGACCCTGTTCCTCCACCTGCTCTAGAATCTTTCCTGGCTCCCCAGTCCCTCTGGGAAAGCAGACAAGCAAAGTAACAAAAATCTACCTCCTCTGTCCCAACATTTACAGGCTCCCCCATGGTCTGGCTGCAGACTTACCTTGTGGTATTTCTCTTCACACGCTCTGTGTTCTAGCCGCGCATCTCCTACCTCTGCCTTTGCGTGGGG